CTCGGATCGTCGTCGTGGTGGTGATGGCAAAGACAATTGACGGACAACAACTAGTTAATTATATTAGGAACCAAATATACGAGGAATTAAATTTTATTAGGTAATAAATTCTAATTTATTTAGGAATCAATTAGTATTGAATTAGTAACAATTTTTAGTTACTAATTTCATTCAGATTTTATATTGAATAAAGTAATAAATTATTTTAACTGTGATATTAGATAAAAAAAAAATTGTTTTATTTTAATATTTATTTATATAATGTTATTATAATAATAAAATATATAGTGAATTGTCACTAACTTGTTTTGATTTATATAGAGTCATAATGGTAAATAAAGCAAAACCAAATATTTTTCAATATAAACATGTGTTTTTATTTTTCCCAAATTTACTAATTCTAATGTACATTAGATAATTATAAATATATATTTTTTTTGCAAAAATTCAATTCGATATCTATACAATTCAAATAGAAAAAAAAAAAAACTCAGGTAAGTGTATGGTATGGTCAGTGGTGATAAAGCATATGGAAGAGTCTTCGGACCAGGAAGTCGTTGTTGGCTGCATCGGTGGGTGTGATGACAGAAGAGGTGTCACCGTTGAACAGCTGTACAAAATCGTTCATTGTCTTGTCGTACATTATGCGACAGTACAGGTAAGTTAGACAGTAGTGTCCACACACGGAAGTGTCGTGGCGTTGGAGTTGGTACTTGTTCGAGACGTAACGACGAGAATTTCGTCTGAGAAACTGTTGGTATTCGGCCAAAAACGGTTGACGGCCGAAACTGTCGAAATATTCTATATGCGTAGCTTCACTGTCCATGTAGAAGGCCACCCAATGTTCCCCGCTTTCCGTGTGCGGCATTGTGTTGACTACTATGGCCGTCGAAGGTTCGATACGTGTTGGCAGGCGGTCTGACGCGTACACTCCTGTGTTCGCTATTTTCTCGCGTGGTAGTTGAGACAAATATTTCGTGATGTCGGTAGTATTCATTATCATTTAATTATTATAATTCTTCGTAGTCGTAGCCGTCTCCTTCTTCGTATTTGTTGTCCTCGTTCTCTTCTTCTTCTTCTTCGGAAATGGTATCGAGACCGCTGATACCACTGCTGTTGATCGATGTAGTCGTCACTGTCATCGATGCTTGGGTTATCAGTGACGGTGATGATGCAGCCGCAGCTGTTGATATACCGTTGTCAACTTCGTCATTGTAGCAAGTCCTCAACTGTTGTCTACTACAAAGGTAGCACGACGACAAACCGCAGTGTGCGTTCTCTTTTGTGGCAGCGGAAGTAAGCAGTAACCAACCGCGTAAGAGAGTGCAGTTAGACAGTGAACAACGGTGTTTTACGCTCTTGTGTTGACCGCATCGCAACACGTTGGCAGACAGTAGATTACCGACCAAAGCCAGTGATCCACAACCCATATCGCTCAAGTCCACCACAACCGTAGTCGAGGTGGTAGCAGCAGCAGCAGCAGCAGCTATCTCGTTGGTCCATCTGTCGTACTTGTTATTCTGTGCGAAAATCTGTCCGATAGTCATACCGTCCGACGCGGTGACGATTAAATTCTTGACGACATATTCTTTCTTTTCCACTCCTTTCACATAGACGACGCTGCGACGTGAGAGACATGTGCGCAGTTTATCAATCAACACGTAGTAGGGCACGTCACCACGATTCCAGTCGAGTCCGTGACAGTGTTTGGTCAACCAGTAGGACTCTCTGAGTTTATCTGCGGACAGTGAATCACGATCGAACGGCGCACGTGCTACGTGATGTAGTAACAAAGTACCGGTTGACACGTCGACCACACTGGCCTCTTTCACTATGAATTCGTTGTTGTTGTCCTTGAAACATTGTAAGTCCAAAACAACTGCTGTAGATTCCTGTTTATAATTATGTGTTGGTGTTTGTGTCTGCTGGCGCGACGGAGCGTGACGGTAACAACGATCCATCACGGTCGAATGTCGATGTTAGACTGAGCTGAGTGGCGGTGACGTAGGCATGAGCTGCGGATGCTCATGTATTTTTGTTTTATTTGTTGTTGTTTTTATCCACTAAAATCCACGGACACGTTGCGGTGTCGATCCACTTCGATGACGTTGTCTAATTCGGCGTACACTATACAGTTGACGGACGCGGCCAACGCTTCTTTGAATTGCAGTTCGATGCGTAAATTACCGTTACGCACCAGGTTCCAGTGACTTGATTCACCGGCCGACATGTCCGGCGTCAAGTCGAACGCCATCAAGCAGTAGCCATTCGGATACTCCGTTCTGTCGATCTCGTTGCCCTTGTCGGCGAACTGTATTCCGGTGCCGGTGAACAACGTATGATATGCGAGAGCGTACAGTTTTGAGTCGCCCGTGAAGGCCGGTGTCAACGCCTTACAGGGCACTTGTTCACCGTCGATGTAAAGAGCGAAATAGTTCAAATTGAAATGTTGAAAATTGAACGGGTTCTTCTTGAAATCGCCGTTGAACGCCACGTTGTCCACCAGTCCTACGATGATACGTTTCGGCAACTGTCCCAGGAACACGCTGTCCAACGTCTTGCCCAGGATACCACTCGGCAGCGTGATGGATTTCACGTCCACGCGTGTAATCGGATACTTGGCCGTGCCACTCTCCAGCGTCTTGCTGTGCGCCACCAACACGCCGGGATTGATCTTACAACGACGGACGAACAGATTCGCCTCTCGAATGTGCACCTTGCAATCCGTCGCAGTTTTTGACATGACGGCAAACGAGTTTCTCGATCTGACGAGACGCAATCGCATTTCGACACCGTTCAACATAAACTTGTCTTGATTGCACAAGTCCAGATGTAAATTGCCCACCATGTCGACGTATGTGCTCTTCTTGACGAATCCTCGTCGCTTGACCAGTCCGTCGTTGGCAATGTCGCAATCGTCCATTTTGTCGGCTTTGTCTTCGTAGAACAGCGTAGTCGTGAGATGTGACTTTTTCGCACTACCACCATAGTTCAGTAGGTTTTCCAAATAGGCACGATACGCGTACGTATTGTTTTGCGGTGACACCAGTTTGTGATTGACGAACAGATCCACTTGACTGAACAGTGAGTGCAGCCAATTGTTTACCGGACCAATTTCTTCCACTAACGCCTCTTCCACTTTTGTGCCGTCGCCTTTCACTATTGTCGCCTCGACGTGTAACAGTGTTTGCGTCAAGTCCGTGTATTCTTCTCCGTTAGCCGGTATGACGAACTCTATAGGCGAATCGTCTGTCAAAGACGAGATAGGCTTGTACTGAATCCACTTACCGTTCTCTATACTAGTCTGAGTGGGTGGTAACGAGAATAAATCCAATTCGGTTTTCACACATTCGCACGATTTCTGATGGATGAACGACATGTTGTTGTTGTAGAAAAATTTTATCACGTCTAATTGAATATATCTATTGCCGGTAATCCTCCTCTAGCTCTCGTTCTTTTCGTAGATCGAATCTTTTTAGACCTGCTCCTGCGCGTCGTCCTCCTCTTACTGCCTGTTGTAGAACGTCGAGTTTTCGTTCTTTTAATCCTTTTGGTCGTAGTTCTGCGCCGTTTATTCGTTTTCTTATGCTGTCTCTTGGTGGCGGTAGAATATTTTCTCATGCTCCTCTTCCTCCTCCGTTTAGTGGCGGTAGCAGTGGACGTCCGTACTCTTAGAAGTGTCGCCAACGACTGTGGCGTGACGCGACGTATTCGTCTTTTCTTATACACCGCGCCACCACCACTCAGTACACGTTCTACTTTGTCATCAGCTCTGCGTTTCAGCGAGCCGGTAAATTCTTTGAGACGAGCAGCAGCCGCGTACTTGGGATGTTGCGTACCACCGGCGGACACCAAGTCACCCAAGAATCCGACTCCCGAACGTAACGCCTCCTTGCCGACAGTGGTCGCGCCGGACTTCAGTAACGGTGCCACAGAACGTACGAGTCCGGCGAGAAAACTGCCGATACCGTGTCCACGCTGGAATGCCGCACCTCTGTACACGGACGACACGCCATGTCCCGACTGTTGCAATTGTCGCCGGTAGTATGCCAAATACGGATCGTTCGTATTCATCGTTGCTGCTGCTGCTGCCACTGATGTTTATGCTATCGTCGTCGTCGTCGTCGTCGTCGTCGTCTATTTAAGCTGTCGCGAGCGATCGGCGCAGGTGTAGCTTCATGCACGTAGTCCCGAAGTGGAATGGCAGTCGATCACCCGTGCTGCCCCTTAAGTCGATTTCCACGTTCTCGAACGCACTCTTGATGACAGGCACGTAGTGTGGATCCGTGAAATGAACGGTCTTGTGTGCGCCGTACACGTAGTTTGACGTATCGATGTTGACGATCTTCAATAACGGCGCCACCGTATCGCCAACCAATTGTGGCTCGACCAAATCGCAATACACGTACATGTCACCCGGCAGTCCGGCTTGTATGTTGGCCGGCAGTTTTGCTTTCTTGTTGCTCTTCAAGTCCGTCTCGGCGGGATCAAACCCCATCTGCAGCGCGAGACCTGTGCTCAATTCCATTTGTACCACGTGACTGCGAATCGCTATATCCACCACTTTGGTGTTTCTGTCGTAGACGAACGTGGCGTAAAACTGTAAGCTTTCCATAGTGTTTATCACACGTATCAGTTCTTCGATATCTTTGTAGTTGCCGGGCTCAACGTTGAGAATTTTCACCTTGACTTTGTTGGTTTTGTCGGAACCACCGGTGGCTATGTCGCTGAGACCTTCGTAGTAGATGAATATTTTCGCGTCTTTGCCCACCGTCAGAAACGAACAGGGATAATGCGCTTCGACCAGTGCCACTTCCCATTCACCGTCCGTCAGATGTATCGACGTGGGCAGTTGAGTGATATAATCGGCCACAGTGTTGTTCGGATAGTAGTTCATCGAACTGTTACTGGGCAGTGTCAAATAGAACTGACTGTGTTTGCTCATTTTTTTTATTATAATTATTATTTATTTATTTTTTTTTTTTTTGCTGATGCGTGCCTTATAATTGTTTAACTTCCGACGCCGGTATCCAAGAGTTAAACTCGTTACCGTAACCTATCCACTTGACGAGGTAACGCTTACTGCGACCGACACCTTTGGTGTCAAGTATTTTATCGATTTCGTACAGACGGTCCGGTGGCAGAGTGATCTTCTGCAATTCTTCTTCGTAGAAACGACCGATCAATGGTGATCCATTCAAATCACGCAACAAGTACAACGGCAACGGATGATGGCCGTATTCGCGGTCCACGACAAACACTTCTTTACTCCAGTTCGTCTCGTATCCTTTGGTGAACGTACCTTTTTCCTTAGCGATACGCACCGTGTCACCCGCTATGAATTTCGCCTTTCTACGCTTAGGCAATTTAGTCTTGATGCCGCTGCCACTGCCACTGCTGTACATGTTCTTCCACACTCTATAAACGATTTTCTTATCTTCTTTCTTCACGTCTATCGGCCGTAAGCCTCTGCCACCGTCAGTGCCCAAACTTCTGTGTGCACTTCGATTGTAGGCGTTCACCAGTTTTTGTAACACGTTGATGTAACGGTGCGTGTTTTTGTACGTGAGATAGCGCCACATGCGTGATTTCAAAGTGCGATTGACACGTTCAACGACCGCCGATTTCACGTCGGGGTTCTGTGTCGTGACGTATCTGACATTGTATTTTCTGAACAATTGTTTCACCTTGGCGCCGGTGAATTCCGTACCCTTGTCCGTCTGCAGACATCTCGGAGGTGTGACGGTGGTTTTTTTAAATATGTTCTCGAACGCGTTGGCCACTTCTGCGCCGCTCTTAGTTTTCAACGGCACCACGTACAATCTTTTACTGAACACGTCAATCGCCGTCAACAGATAATTGATTCCGTCGTTGAACGCACTCAGACCGCGCATGTCATTCAAATCTGCTTGCCACAATTCGTCCGGACCGAATACAACGTAACGGTTGCGTGCGAATCGTTTACGCACCGGCTTGTGCAATGTGTAAGTGTCTTGTGTTCGTAACCAGTCCAACACCACTTTTCGTGTTGTCTTTTTCTTTTTCCCCTTGTTATTGTTTTTCTTCTCAATCCCGTCACGAATCGCTCGCACTAGAGGTGTGACGCCACCGTATGATGCCGGATCTTCGGGATCGTAGTACAATCGTTCCATGATTTATCCGCACTATGGTGAAAACGGTTCCCACCTGTCCAACGGTGAAAGTGATTGATCTCTATCTTGCTGTTGTTGTGTTCGTTGTCTTCGATGAGCCGCCAACGAGGGTAACGGTGACGTAGGTGATAGCGTCCGCTGCTGATTAACGTAAGCAGAACGTAAACGATCGCGCATAGGTGTTCTCGGTGCCGACGATATGATCTGACTACTTGCCGCAGCCGACGCCACGTCACCACGTAACGATCTGTATCCCGCACCCAGATACTGTAACGCCGTTGAATTGTTTATATACTCCTTGGGCACATTCATGTCGCGTAACGCGTTCATGACTTCGTACCAACCGGCGGGCATGTAATCCACCATACGGACTCTCACTATGCAGTGTAATATGTCCACGATGTTCGAATCGGGAATTTTTTCATTTCGCACATACACCGCAAAGTCCTTATCCCAATTTATCACACTACCTTCGCGGACGATGAATCGTAACAGATTACGCACATCCGGCTTGTACGTTTTAGAAAAAGTGTCCACTATCTCCTCCACTGTACCGGGTGGCGGCGACGACGCTGATGCTGCTTGCAGTAATGATGCTGCTGATGATGATGATGATGTTGATGTCTCTATGATGGGAATACTGATCGGTTGTCTATTGACAGAGGCAAAATGTAAAAATCTTTGCAACACCTGTTGATATTGCTTCCATTTTTCGTAATCGCTCAAAGTTTTATCCGTCAATATGCGATGCATTTCATTATCGATACTGTTGCCTCTGTCATCTCCGAATCGATTCGATGACGACTTTATATTATCATTGTTGTTGTTGTTGTTGTCACCACTGTTGCGTAACCGCTCGATCAACTCTTGCGGTACGACGACCATTTTCTTCGCGTACTCCATTATTATTGTGGGATGGATTTATGAAGTATGGCTTGTAGTACGGTGCTCAACAGTATGGGCAGTAGGAAACCGCCTCCTTTCTGTACTAGATATTGGCGTTTCTTAGCCCAAGTCTCACCTCTTTTTACCAATCGTCTGAGATTCGTTTTATACTTGTTCAATTGTCTCTTGCGTTTGTCAGACACCGATACGTTACCGCGTAACAGGTTGTATGCGCACTCGCACACCGACCGTATACGACTGATGTCGCACACCTTTAACAGCGCTTTACGTTCCTTCGGTGTAGCGTGTACGAGTGCCGACAGTAGAGCCGCGTCTTTCCTCACACACTGCGACATGACGACTGATACTTACCCGATGTGGATGTGTTCTATTTATTATTAATGTGGCCCCTGCTACCACTAATCTTCGGTAGGTATACAGAATTAATCGGATCGTCCGGAAAGATAGTCGAACGAATGCGCATCTCATCCGGTGTAGATTGTTTTAAGTCTATCAGCAGATATGCGTGTGGATCGCGTGTAGCGTCCGCGTATGCTTCCTCTATAAATTTAGTATTATCCGGATAGATTTGACGAGCTAAATGTTTTATCTGAGCCCGATCTCTAGGGTTCTTAAAACACACTATGTAATGAGCATTAAGGGAAATATCTCTCTGACCGCGACCTTGATGAAACAGATTCTGCGTTATAAAGAAAACACTCAAGCTTTTGTGATGTGATCCTTTAGTGAACAGATCCACCACACTGCTGTCTGTTTCACGCATCATATCGTCCACGATGATCAAATTAGGTACACTTCCGTCGAAATCGTTCATGTCTGGCAGACTGTTTCTGTACTGGACAATACCTCCTCTGCCTCTGCTGCCACTGCTACTGCTCTGTTGGACAATATCATTCGAGTGCGGATGATGCCAATATATGTTAGCAAAATCCGTATCACAAATTTCATTTGAGTGATCTATGAATCGCATGACGAATTGTGATTTACCAGAGCCCGAAGGGCCGGCTACTATGGCCGAAAACGGATGTTTCCACCTCAAGTCCATTTTGCTTACTGACTACACTAACAACACCACAAACTAATTTATGATAATTATTTATAACAATAGGGAAAAAGGAGTGTAAATAAAAAGACTATTTGATTATGCTGTGAACGTGACTATACGTATTGACTTACAAAACCTATCAAAGTTACAATTTCATTTTAAGAAAATTACAATAATCATTAGTTTTTTGAGGTTAGTAAAAATGATAATAAAAACAGTTTTGTACATTAATTTAAATTTATTTCAAACAAACTCCAATGGAGTATATTTACTGCCAGCTGGAGCGCTTCTTCTGACGAGGCATAGTCGATCACCGAATCCCCTGTTGTACTGCTCAATGCGTTGATCTGTGATCGCCTCGTTAAAGCGTCGTGGTAGGTAGACACGGATGTAGAGCTCATCGCCGAGTAGTCCTTCCAGCACAACCATGATAGTCTCTCCGTACGGTGTGGTCACTCGTTCGAATTTCACAATACGATAAGCGCACTCTTCACAAAGATCGATGATCTTCGTGTATGGCGTGTTTAATTGCACGGCGTTGAGTTCATTTTTTAAGTCCATCACATCACTGCTGCCTCCACCTCCACTACCACCGACACTGACTGACTCGCATTTCGGCATAATAAATGTTTTAGTGAAAAAAGTTTAAGTCAAGCAAAACTGTACACACGTTCGATCCGCACAGTGGTTAGACGATGAATGAATTGTTGTAGAAGCAGCGACAGCGCAGTGGTGGGGTGAAGAATGCAGGTGTGTCTCAATATTTCTCAGAATCCACCCCTGTAGGAGAGTCTAGCACAGACCGGTTTTTTGTAGTTGTTTCTTTTTGTTTCGTCCCCTCGACTGCAGCTGCGCATCAACACGTGGCTTCTTGGAAACGCTGCTATTGTTGGTATAATCTTTTGTCTCATCCGATTGCATCATCTTCTCTGGAGCCACAGAACGTTTCTTCCTTTGTTTTATTCTTCCGCCGTTTTCGATTGCGCAATCCATTGGTCGGCGCCACGCGGGTAGCGGCGTCATTGACTTTGTCACACCGTGTATTTTCGGGACTCCTGTCAAACGATCGACCCATATATTCTCTAATTGTGACAGTAAATGATTCACACTGTTGTATATTTTATCTCCTTTCTTTTCATTCAAATATATGCCGCAACTGTGTGTTTGCACTCCTTCCTCAAATAAATGTAATTTCAATAAAACTCGCCCTCGATTAGCGGGATTCTGTACGGTGTATTGAAAATCTTCGTCAATCCACGTAATGGCTGGCGAATCGTTAGCCGATCTAAACACCCATCCTTCGTCTTGCCCTTGACCTAGTTCATCTTCTTTTTCTTCTTCTTTGTTAATTTCACTACCAATATCAGCTTGCACATTTACATCACGAGTCTTCTTCTTCTTGTTGTTATTAATTTTCTCCTGCTTATGCTGTTGCTGCTGCTGTAATTGTTTCAGCTCAAAGTCTGGCTGCTCCACATGTTCTGTAGAAAAACCACTGATTGCGTTATCCTCCAAAGCTTGTATCTCCTCCATAATAAAACGTATTGTTTTTTCTGTATCAGCAATATTAGACATACCGACGTCACCAGTAGTAGTACTAGTAGTAGTAGTAGTCATAGTGAACATAACACTATGAACGCACGACACGAGTTTACTCAACGCACTCACAGAACTAACTGAATTGTCGGCGGTTGTATCATGTGATATTGACACCACCACTAGCGTTTTGCTGCGGGTAAACCAACAACTAATACTACGATATGACGTCATCACAAGGTGACGTCAGGACCTAGATACGTGGGTGGTCCAACTCGAAAACTGTACAGCACGACATTGCACCTTCCAGTTTTCTCGTTACAGTGCACTTAACTCACTAAAGCTTAGGTGGTCTTTAAAAAGACCGTTTGACGCCGAAGGAAAAGGGAAAGGAAAAGGAGGCGAGGTGAAGAATAATGATATAATTGTCTTTTTATTTCTTCAGCTCCTCGATTTCATCGTCGAGTTCTCTCATTCTCTTAGAATCATCTGCCCACCAGCTCCATTCAAAGTCGTCCCTGGGCTGACGGGACCAAATACGAAAAAATTTAATATGCAACTCTTTCTGCTCCTCCAGCAGCCGAAGTAGAGTCGCCTGACGTTCCCGCTCCCGCTCCTCTGCCACAGCGCACGCCCGGTGTAAATCGGCGTCGTCTATATCGCTCGCCCACTCTTGCTGTTTCTCTTGCTGTTGGTTGGCCATCTCGTGTGAACTCCAAACCCTATCTGAAGGTAGCGGATGAGTAACGCAGTATAGCCAGAGAGAGGGGGTGGGGATAGGATGCACGACGCAGAAACGATGGAAGTTTCCACGAAGGTCCAGTGGTAAACAACACGTGTTCCTTTGTTGGCGTAAAGCGATGGAATGTTCCAGAAGGTTATCCATTGTTATATTGGACTAAACAATGCCTTTAGAAACTCTTCTAATGGATCTGTCAATCATCCGTTAAGTGGATTCCTTTGTATCCTAGGACCAAAGGGAGTGCCTACGATAAAAGCTTTCCATTGTATCGAAAGATCAAAGGGACAGCCGCCAGCATCTCGCTCCGTGGGTGGTATGGCACATCCTAGGGGTGCAGGATGGGACGGACGAGACGATGGGTGGGGGGGGGGAGGTGCCTTCATGCCTGCGTGGTCTGGCACATCGCTCCGTGGGTGGTCTCAAAAACTAAACAGTGCGAGTATGGACCATATAGTTTTCTCATTAAGTGAACTTAACTCACTAAGGCTTAGGTGGTCTTTAAAAAGACCGTTTTATGATGAAGCAGGAGGAGGATTAGGGGAAGGATGATTTAAATTCTGTTTATTTCTTCAACTCCATAATCCTATTTTGAAGTTTTGCCCATCGTGCCATATCTGCATCATGATGAGCCCACTCTACGTCGTCCCGAGGCTGGGAGCACCAAACATGCTCTATTTTGTAACTCAGCTCTCTCTCCTCCTCCTCCAGCAGCTGAAGTAGAATCGCCTGATGTTCCCGATCCCGCTCCTCCGCCTCGACGCACGCCCGGTG